CTTTTCTAACTTAGCCTGGGGAGCCTCACAGTGTCGCTTCCTGCTGAGTTCTCCCTGTTGAGGCAGCCACAAGGCCCTGCCCAGCTTCCACGGGAGGGCACAGAGATGCCAGAGCATCAAAGTATTTGTGGACATATTTCGAAATCCCCACAAGAAATCTGACGCGATTCCAAATTCCTTACCCTCATGTGTGGTTTTTATTTTTCTCTCTCTGGGAGGTTGCAGGGTCTTCGGTTTCTCTCTGGGGACTCTAGAATTTCACAGTCTGCTTTTGTATTAGTCTTCCATCCTTTTTCATTCAATGTGCTTGGCACTCATTGTGCCTTTCAACCTGAAAGCTCATCTTCTTCAGTCCTGGGAAAATTTATTGTATTATTCATTTGATCATCTGCTCCCTACTAATTTTTTCCTACCCTCTCTCTCTTCCTCTCTCTGGACCTCCTTGAATAATACTCTATTTTTCTTATCTTTCCGTGCTTGTATCTTCTTGTTCTATTTTCATATGTATTTTTCAACTTTATCTTCTGAGATTTTTCGTTTCTGCTATCACGTTTGTAATTTCCAAGAGCTCCTTTTTCTCCGAATGTTCTTTATAATAACTTCCCTTTCTTGTCTTCTGGATGTGATATCTTTTGTTATGTCCCTGAATATAATGATTAAAGTTTATGTGAAGTTTTCTTATGCAGCCTGCATGGTCTCTATCTTCTCCAAGTTCCTTTATTTTCCTGTTTGTTATCGTCTCTCTATTACGTTAGCGATTTCTCTCAGATATCTGGCAATTATTGTTGTCTGTTGATATCTGTCGTGTTAGGAGTGAGCAGGAAAGTTGAGGGAAGTTCTGGGTGACAGAGGGGCTTGTAAACTTCACAGCAGGTTTACTGGACACAGACCCTGTCACTGGGGTCCCCCAGTGTGTTTCCACTTCTCCCAGAGGACTCCCCCAGTCCCCCACCTGGGGTATGGGCTTCTCTGCACCTGCTCAGGGAGCTGGGCTGGAGGGCCAGTGCAGGGTCTCAGGGTTGAGTGTGTGGACCCTCCCGCTGGCCTGCAGGCTGCCCAGCCCCACCCACTGAATGCTCATGGCCAGGCCTACTGTGCCCTGCCTGAATTCCTGGTGGAGACTGATGTCACCAAGTTTGTTGTATAGCATTAGATGCCTGAAAACCCACTGAGTAGGAACTGGGTCAGCTGGGGAAGGACAACTCAAGAGACAGCCTGGTGGGGGTCATCGCCCCGACTGTTTGCCGCCTTTTTCTGCAGCAGGGTCTTCTGGGTGAGCATTCCCACAACACATGCACGTTGGCATGCACGGCTCACCCCCAAGGCCCTCCCTTAAACCTTGTCACCCACAACCCCAACGCCACTCCCCCAGTCTTGCCTCTTCCGAGTTCCTGAACGCTGGCCTCTGCCCAGGACTGTGGATGTTGACCTTGGCCTTCTCTCTTTCCTGGCAAAATCGACAGCGAGAGGGGCCACGTGAAGTTCTGCCCAGGGAGAGGTTTCTTTACCAGGGTCCTTCAGGGCTGCGCACCCTGGCTAGAGCTAGCCTGTCGTGCTGTGCAGAGCCCCAGGGAAGCCAAGCCCTTGGGGTTAGTCTCCAGGGCCCTGGAGGCCAAGGTGGGACAGGTGCAGGCACATTGGTGACAGGAGTCACAGGCTCCTGCGGTTTCCTGGGGCCTCAGGACCTGCTCAAGCAGGTCCCACGGTCATCTCTAGGGCAGTGCCATTTGGCACACGATCTCTGTATCTTGGTGTTCTGATGAGTGACTGATACTGGTCCTCTGGTGCCCCACAATCAAGTGTCCAGTCTCTCTCAGGGCCCAGAAACGAGCCAGGAGCTCGTTTCTTGAAAGCAGGCTCCTGCTTTCTGCCTGCTGGATCTTTCTCCAATCAAGTTTCAAATGCCTGAGGAAGAGGCTTCCGGTTGGCGTGGCTGGGATCTCATGTCTCCAGAGAGGCAAGAGACTGAATCCACAAACCCAAAATGGCCAGATCATAGATGAAAATACAACTCTGACCCACAACCTGCAGCCACTTGCCCAGAAAAGCAACCTCTTATCTACAATAACTAGCCAGGAAGCCAGCCTGCTGTTAAGTCAGACTTGCAGAAAGTCAGACTGCTGTCTCTAGGAACAGGCAGTCAACAGGAAGCCAAACGATAACCTTTGTGACAGTCACAAAGTGTCCAGGACTTGATTAGTAAATGACAGCTTCCTTAGCTTTTATCCCCTTTTCCAACTTAGGACCAACCAGAGAGAGCCAAACCTGCTCCCTAAACAATGACATGGGACGCCCCACTTCTAGTTGGCCAGCCCACAGCTTCCCCAGGCCGACAGCGTCCTAACAGGGCACACGGGAAGTCTCCCTTTTTCTCCCCTAACGCTCTCCCACTCCTCTGGCTGCCTCTGTCTCTGCCAATTCAAGTGATAGCGGCCGACTCCCTTGCTGCGGCAAGCTCCGAGTCAACAGTCACTGCTTGCTCTCACTTGTTGGTCTTCGTTTACTTTCACACAGGGCAGCTGGAACCAGCTATGAGGGAAGCGGAGTTTCCGAAAGCAAGATGAGGAAGGTGCTGATGCGGGAAGAAGATGGAGGCAGACCAAAGTCTTCAGCGGTCCGTGGGGATGGGGACTTTGGGATGCAGGGGACAAAGCGTGCATCTGCAGGTTACTCCTGGGCCAGAAGGAGCAGGCCCAGTCTAGCTCTGATACCCTCCTCTGCTCTCCCCAGCGGCCAGTCACTGGCCAGAGTCTCCAGGCCCAGGCACTGTCCTCAGGAGCAACACCAGTTGTGCCCACAGTCCTTGGATAGGACCCCATTCATCTGTTTCACCTTTTCCTGCGCTGCAGACAAATGTCCCTGCCGAGGAGAGGGCTGGCCCTTTAGTCTCTCTCCTGTCACCTCCTTCAGCTTGGTGTCTTCCTCCACCCGCAATGAGGAAATTTTCTCAATTCCTCATCACTGACAGCTCTCAGGGCTTGGTCTACGGGAGCCGGAGGGGCCTAGTCTTGGGGTGGGGAGAATACCCCAGTCATAGCCCTCTCTCTCATCCCCTTCTCTGATCACCTTCAGAGGCAGGACAAAGTTGGAGGGGTGACTGGACTCCCTCCGCCTGAGCTGAGAACAAAGGATGGATCCGACAGGATGGGTCAGGTTATGCCGCAGTTACAAACAACTGGAAACTGCCAGCACTGGAAAACCCCAGGGTCACTGCTCACCCTCACCATGTCCATCACACACTAACAGGGGCTCTGCTCCACGTCATCCTGGCTCAGGGACCAGGCTGCCAGAGCCAGTCGTGGCAGGCAGAGGACAGCACTGGGGTTTCCTAAACCGATTCACCCACCCTGCCCACAGCCCAGACCAGAACATGTCATGTACCCCCCCCCGACTGCAAGGGGGACAGGGAACTGCCATTTCCTCATATGTCACTGGTGAACAGCAGAAAAAAGTCCTTGCAAAGTGGGCTGCCCTCAGCTGCCCCAGCGCCCTGTGCTCCAGAAGAGCCTGGTCCAGGCCCCCTTGTCCTTTGTCACAGCAGCAAAATCCATTGTGTGTGCATTTAATGCGCCTAGCGGGTCTCCTGTCCGTTTATGCCATTTTCAATCTGCTGTGATCACGAACAATGACACGATGAATGACCTCATCTGTGCCTCAGTTCACACATCAGCAAGTTACTTAAACTTCCTGTGACTCGGTTTCCTCATCCATAAATAGGGGTAAGAGTAGGATGAACGCCTACTCAAGGTACTTGGGTCCTTACTATAAGGCAGGCAGTACACTCAGGCGTGCAGCCTGACACCTGACACGGACCAGGTACTCAACAAGCATCAGCAATGACTGTTGTCGTTATTTGCAAGTGCAAATAATGATTCAAAAAACACTTATTTACAAAGTAGGCAGTTCAAGGATACGTGCCTTTTCAGCTTCGATCCACATTTCCTCAATCCAAACTCCTCCCACTGGCAATGTCTATTCTAGCCTCTACCAGTTCCCCAGGGAGCGCCTGGCACTGCTCCCAGCTGGGGGCTCCCCGAGGGGGTTCCTGCATTCCACCCTAATGCTCGGGGTCGTGACTGCTCTGACACCACAAACGGCCCCAAAGGGGGCCTCTGAGATATGAGACGGCTGCAGGGATTCCTCTGCCAACCCACCACCCCTGCAGCGTGTGGCAGAAGGCCTCCTCCTTGGCCCTCTAGCGACATTTCCCGGAAGGTGTCAACTTACTGAGTCCTTTCAGAATGAGGCTGACCTCCTGAGGGGTTCCCCTATGTAGGGATCCCCCTCTGCTAGGCAAAAATCCCCAGAGAAGTGTTTGCTCCTCCAGGCTGCACCATGGGGGCCTCCCATGGCTCCTCCCCTCTGGCCAGCCCTAGGAGCCCCCAGAGTCCTGACCTGCTAGCACCCCAATGCCTCTGCTTTGCCTGGGCCTCTCATTGCTGTGGACAGGCCAGCGCCAGCTCACCCAGGCTGCACTGTTCTCTTTGCCAGACTCCATCCTTTGGCAACCCAGATGGTGAGGTGGCAAGAGAGCCACCTGGGTCATCCAGTGTGGCTCATATGCCCTCAGTGGCTGAACAGAAGAGCGTCTGACCCTGCCCGGCCCAACCTGGGCTGCTCTGAGCTACTCGGCTCCTGCCCACACCCCCCTCACCAGGGGCCCCTCAGCTCCCGCTGTCCTGACTGGGGCCCTCTGGCAGCTGGCCTGCTGGGACCAGAAAGCATGTTTAGAAAAGTGAGCCTTTTCTCTCTCTCTCGACTGCGGGGACCTCCAGGACAGGGACCATGGTTATTATTTCTTTTTCTGTTTCTTTTTATCTTCTCTTCCAGTTTCTAGACTTCAGTAAACACAGGCTAGGTTGAAGGCTCCGGGAAGACACTCCGATTGTGTTTTAGGACTTCAAGTACCCTAGCCAGCTGCCCTGTCCCTCCTGAGTCTGACAGCTGAGGATCCCAAAGTCCCCTCCCCAGGAAACTCAATAATGCTCGCAGCAGTGCTTCTCTCTCAGAAATTTTATTGGTCCTGCGGAAAGGGAGGCAGGCAGCACCTAGGCAGGGGGCTGCCCTCATTGTTTCCCATTGCCATTGATGGGGCGGTTCACATGCTCGGGGGAGGCCAGGAAGGCCTTGAGCTTGGGCCGGGCGCTCAGGCGGGTCACGTAGGCCGAGAGCAGGGGGAAGGAGTCCAGGCAGCTGGGGGCCAGGACCTGGTGAATCAGCAGCAAGTCCAGCAGGTTGTAGTCGGCGAAGGAGATCTGCAGGGCAGGGGGCCGGGGACTCAGCAGGTGGGAACCGACCAGGGGACAGGGGGAGGGGGCACAGAGAGCCCGAGCCGTTCCCTAGGTCTGCCCAGCTTTGCTGAACACACGGCTCAAGTGCTCTCTCTGCGCCTGTTTCCCATCTGTAAGAAAGAGGGCGGTGCAGGACAGGACCCGACACTCACCTGGCTGCCCACAATGAAGGCCTGGCCCCCCTGGTTCTGGGACAGCAGGGTCTCAAAAGGCTTCAGGTGCCCGGGCAGTGCCTTCACATAGTCCTCCTTGCCCGCCTCCTGCCAGGAAGGTGCCACCGCGCATCATTCTCCTGACCCTCACACTGCTGCCCAGCGCAGCCCAGCCCCTGCCCCTGCCTTTGCCCCTGCCCTGTGACGGCCCCTCCTGTCTGCCCCATCTCAGTGAATCACCACCACCCTGGGCTGGAGCCCCAGTGCTCCCCTGCTCACTGCCCAACCCAAGCTATTGCCACATCCTGTCCATTGCAGCTGCTGATTCTTCTCTACTCCATCCCCGCCTTTCCATTCCTGCTACGATCTCTCACCAGACTACTACAAAAACCTTGGAGGATCCTTCTCGACCTCAAGTTTGGACACCGCCCTGCTTAAGACTCCTTGACGGCTCCCCACTGCTGTCAGGAGAGTTCAAGCCAGCCAGTTCAAGGCCTTAAGGACCTGGGCCTGCTGCCCCTCCACCTCCATCTCGTGACTCTCCCTCTCTCTCATGTGCATGCACACACATGCATGCGCACGCGCACACACCCACACACGCCCTGCCTCTGCACAATTGGTCCGAGATCCCCGAATGTCCTCCGTGTCTGCATACTTTGTGCACCTGAAAGTGCCAGCACCCCCTATACATCCTCCTACACCTGTTCCCAGAAGGCCCTCCCGACCTCCCCCAGCCGAGGGGATCGGGAGTCCTCTGGCCCACGTCTCCCGTCCTTGCACTGTTCTACCAACCAGTGCCCCTGACTCGACTGGGTCCCTCCCCCAGGCAATGAGGCTTCGGGTTGTGTCTCGTCCATGTTGGCTGCTGGCCCCCAGCACAGAGCCCTACCCAGCCCAGACACCCTGACTGAGGCAGGGGTCAGCCAGAGCCACGGGAGGAGTGACGGGCGAGAGTACGGGTTACCGTTTTCTGTGCTCGTCCCTGGTGCCCACCCCCAGTGCCCAGGCTCACGTAGTTGGTGTAGATGAGAGTCACATATTTGCAGCGGAGATCCTCCACGCCGTCATTCACCACATCCACCAAGGCTGCCTCCCGCTGGTCCTTGCCATACAGCCCTGGGGGTCGGGAGAGCAGACAGCATGACTGGGCGCCTGACATGAAACTCTCTGTTGATCCGCTGCCACGCCACGTGGCTGCCTTCGGGCCACAGCCAGGGAAGAAGATGTGGACAGAAGGAAGGGACAGTCCTGACCCACAGTAGGTGCTCAGAACTCAGTGGGAGGCAGACTCAGGCCTGACCCTGGACAAGTTATAACCTCCACTCCACAGGGTTGCTGGAAGCCTGATTTAAACACATGAGACTCACAGGGCTGGGGCAATGAGCAGATGCTTAGGAACGCTGGCTGTGGCTCACCCACCCCTGCCCTGCGCTGGGCCGCTTGCGACCTCAGTACTCACCGAGGGAGCGGCCCAGGTGTCGCAGGATGGCATTGGACTGGTACAGGGTGAGGTCTCCATCCTGGAACTTGGGGAGCTGCCCGTAGAGCTGGGGGTAGTGCAGCATGGTGAGAAGTGCTGAGCTCGGCTGCCTCCTCACCCTAGTTTTGCCCCCCAAGTGCAGCCTCTGACCCCCATCTGGGCACAGTCACTCACACAGGAGGCCTTGAGTGGGCCCTGCAGCCAGGTCTCCATGGTCACCGCCTCCTCCTTCCAGCTCTGGCCCTGGTCAGCCAGCAGCATGCGCATGGCCTCGCAGCGCCCTGGGGGAGGGGAGGCAGGGGTGTGGGGACTCCTCCCGTGATCTCACGGCATCCTGGGGAGGGGACCAGCCATAGCCAGGAGGTTGGATACTCCAGCCTCAGGAGCTCAGGGATACAGGGAAGGAGGCCCGGGCTAGTAGCCACGTGATGGAGGAGTAAGTGGGGGTTGGGGTCTCCCTCAGACGGGTGAGGGGCGTGGGCTGCAGGCCCCAACCTCTGCCTCCCCTCCTTCCCAGTCATAGGCCCCTACCTCGAACAGGGAAGTAGATGATGGTATAAGGCGGCACTAGAGGGACAAAAGAAAAGTCTGTTAGGAGTCTGGGAGAAGAGCATCACGGGGAGATTTACCCACCTGTCCTCCTGGGGTCCCATTCCCTGCTCTGGGCGCTCCGGGCCCCCAGGAGCCGGTCTCTGTGCTGGGGGCGCCGCGCCCCGTCCAGAGCCTCAACCCCGCAATGATGGCGTCCTGAGTCCCCTGGATCCGTCCCGGCGCTGGGGGGTGGGGGGCGCGATGAAGGGGGCAGCGCGGGGGGGGGGGCGGGATGAGGGGAGCAGCGCGGGGGGCGCGGGATGAGGCGGGCAGCGCCTCCTAGGAGCCCCGGCCCGACGCTGAGGGCAGCGCTCCGAGCCCCCCGGAGGCCCGGCGGCGCGGACTCACTGGTTGCGGTGCACACGTTGACGCGGACGGAGGCAGCGGCGGCACACCTCTTGCAGGCCTGGCGCCTCGAGCCTTATAAGGGTGGTCCCGCCCCGCGCGCCCCACTCCGCCCCCAGTGCTGAGTCACCGCGCTGGCTCCGGACTGTAGCCCCGCCTCCTCCGCCTGCCCACCCGGCCCCCGGCCGCGCCCCCGGCCCCCATCACCCCCGCGGTCGAGCCCCTCCCAGCCCGCCGGGCCCCGACCTGCGCCCCTCGAGGATTTGCCCAACATCCCCCTGGGGCTGGTGGATTCGCGGCAGAGGCTGGGATGGGGGTTCTAGAATCTTCCAGAAGCCTTAGGGTCCGCCCAGTCCACGCCCTTTCCATGCTTGAATTGCAGACCTCAGAGGCCCAACTCTTTGCATGCAGATACTTTTCCCTCCAGACAAAGGACACAATAGACGCTGCACAAAGACGGGCACACCCGCCTGCCCGGCACACAGACACACACACATGCAAACTCACACTCCTAGTTGAGTTTCGCATACCCATCAGCAGCCGGCTCTGTTCTTGTCATAGTCAGGCACCCCGATGCTTACCATTTTTCTGTAATTACCTCAATTCTTCAGCTGAAATTCGCTCACTTTAAAATGGAACCTGTTTCACTTTCTTTCATTCTAAGTGGAAACGGGCACCACTTGTCATAAGTAGAAAGTCACCATAAAAATGACGAGAACAATATGGCTTTTTAAATCTACCTGAACAAAGGGACACTGGACCCTCCCTTTTCAAAAGTAACATTAGCGAGTGTTGGGTGTTTCTGGCACAATAGCACCAAACCGAACTGTGTCCCTTTGTGCATCAGGATTGAGGACAATAGCAAACGGTTTGAGGACGAGCTTCAATGCTGTTTAACCCTGTCTGTCTGCCTTGGAACTGCTTTCCAGAATTTCAGGCCCTACTCCGTGTGGACAGATTTTTGGGACCCTCTCTCTGGTCTAACAGGCGAATCTAGGAGGCAAATGGCACAGGCTTTAAGTCAGTGCAATAACATCCGTGCTGTCCTGTGAAGCAGCCGTGCATGCCATCCTCAGCCTGGGTCAAGTGACCTTTCCACCCCACACCTCATGACCAAAGACGCCAGCTGGACAGATCCTCAGCAGGAAGAGATAAAGCATACCGCGCTCTCAAGTTTCCCAGCTGCATTTCTTAGAGATTGAGGGACTAATTAACGACCCTGGTCCTTGCCTCCCTTCACACATAGATAACATCAGAATCTCTGAACTTGTTTGATGTCTAACCAAGGAATTCTTGTTTATGTCACCTTCAATGTAGAGTCTAGAGAAAAGCCCTGATGTCCTCTATCCCTTTTTTTGAAATCTAGCTGTAAGATTTTTCTCTTTTCCTCTTCCCTGCACGTGCACCGTTTGTGACAGAGATGTAAGCTGCACTTACACTCACACAGCTCGGAGCACTTCCATCAGAGCGCCCTGTTGGACTGTTTCCCCAGGGTTCGAACTCCTCACGCTGGTTATTGAATAAACCCCCTTCACTAACATCACCGAGACTCTTTATTGCAGTCTGCAAATTGGTGACCACGCAGGGACCCAGAGAGACTGCCTGAGACCACCTGGGACATCGAGAGGACCCAGTGCTGTGGTACCAGCAGGGCCCTTTGCACCCAACAGGCTCCCCGGAGCTCCAGCTGAGGCAGGGTAAGTCCTTCCTGGGCCTTAGATCTCCTGATTAATGATTGAAGGTCCTTGAGTTTATTCAATTGTTTGTAATTGTCCAGGTGGGACGGGTTATCCTCTGTGTTCGCAGAGAAGGGAATTACAAACTTGGTGCTCAGATTTTCTGGCTTTTTGAGCCAAGGGAAGTAAGACAGGATAGATGGCGGCTAATGTCGGAGTTTTCTCCTTTTGGCTCTCTTGAGAATCAGAAACTGGTTCAGCTTGCCAAAACCAAAACTATTTGATTAGGTCTCTGGGTGACCAGGGGCCAAGCAGAGGTGTCTGAGATCAATTCTCAAGACACGTAGCAGTCCCATAGGGGACTCCAAACCACATAATTAAGTAATTTGGCTCTCCTGGGGATGCACTATAAGGTTGATCACCAGTGCTCTGAGCCCCTACGATTGTGTTAGATAATCGGCAGGAGAACCAAGGCACTTAAGTAGGTTGAACCGACTCATTGGTGACACTTTGAGGAGCTATGCCGGTAAACAGCACACTTCTGATCCACCACTGTAAATCACTTGTTTGACTTACTGAACCAGAATGGGAAACAAAACATCAAAATCTGGTAACTGTGGGACATCTGACAGCCAGCCACCAGCTAGTACTCTGGTCAATTTCATGTTGAACTTTCGTTTCAGATAAGTGCACCTTAAGGGTCACCCTTAAAAGAGAGGATTCAAAACCTCTCAGAAACAGTGGAATGAATTCTTTGATTGTTATGCAGAAACTTCTAAAAGACAAAATGACTTCAAAAACCACTCTAAAAAAGATCCTTACAAAAAAAAAGAGAAAAGAATCTTCAGGAAAAATTTTTAACCATCTGTGTGGATGGACCTGGAGGGTATTATGTTAAGCGAAATAAGCTAGAGAGAGAAAGACAAACACCACATGATTTCGCTCATATGTGGAATGTAAACCAACACATGGACAGAGAGAACTGTTTGGTGGTTACCAGGGGCAAGGGGGTGGGGTGGGCACAAGGGGTGAGGGGAGGCATTTATATGGTAACTGACAAACAATAATGTACAACTAAAATTTCACAATGTTATAAACTATTAAGACATCAATAAAAAAAGCACACACAAAAAATTTTTAGCCATCTGAGCAAATAAACTTAATTTAATTCATCTGCCATAAAAACAATTTGGATGCAACTATTCTTTTGAGTTTCGTACCTGAGACATGGGTAAAATTTTAAAGATCTCTGTTTGTGTCTACCTGTATGTAAGTCTCTCTCTATTTGTCTGCCTCCAGATGGTATAATTTCTAAAGGAGCTCTATTTAATTGGCTTGAAGTAGGCGCTTATATAAATTATTTCTAAATGTAATAGAAATTAACCCAAATGTCTTTCAAGTTAACATGATATAAAGTGATCTTTGATAAATGAAAGCTTGTTTAAGTTGTTGGTTTAATTAAAATAGACATGTTTTCAGAATTACCAACATTGGATATGATACAAACATGTTATTTCTGTAACAAAATTTGTCAGTAAAAAATAACTTAGACTAATAGCTGATTTTGTCTAATGTCTCATGAGGTTTTTGTAGGCAATCTAAATATAATTATTGGGAACAAGTAAACGAAATGGTTGTGAAAGGATAAAAGTGTTGGGGGTGAACTTTTTAATAATAATTACGTGTTATGGTATGTGTACTTAAAATACCTTCAAAACCTTTTGGTGACTTGAAACCTGATGAGTTTTGCTAAATTAAGTTAAATGATAAAAATTTGTTGAGTATCTAGGTCATGTCCACATAAGATAAAATGTGAAAATTAATTACTAGGCATAAATTTGTCTGCCTTTGGCTTCTTATTTCAGAGGAACTGGAATATGCTTGGGTTTATTGATGAACGTGTTTTGTGCCACACTGGGAAATTTCCTATGAGAAATTACATGTTTCTAGAAAGTCTGTATTCAAGAAAAGTAAGGTGTTTTTTTTTCAGTAAAGAAGGTATAAGTAATAGAGATATTTTTGTTTATTTTGTTAAGAAAGACAAATTTGTCCTAAAGTACTAGGGGGAAAAAAAAAAGGAAAGAAGGCATGGGACAAATTCTGAATGTAAAAAGCAAGTGACAGAAGGTTTGTGGAAGTAAAAACCCAAGGAAAGAGTTTTGTACATGGTCAAGTTGGCTAAGATTAAAATGAATTTAATTATGTGAATAAGTTTTAATATCAAAAGTAAGCTGGTACAAAATTAGAATTAGGCTTTCTCTCCCTTAAAAGAATAGTCTTCAACTTTTGGTCTGTTGTGGATAAAGAGGTTATAAAAGGTTTTTTCTTTACCTCTGAGTAAGTCTACTTAAAAGACAGAAAATCAGTGTTTTGTTAAAATAATTTCCTATGTTCAAAAAGACTGAGGTCTCTCTATTAAGGTCTTTTTTTTGCTTTTTTGCCTTTGACATCTTCTGTTGTCATCTTGATTGAATGGATAACTAAGCATTGTTTCCTATTTGACCAAGTGTTTTAGGACCTTTTGATATTTTTGACAAACTTCCTCCCAAATTAAAGTCTTTCTTTTGACTTAAAAAGGACCTTTAAAAATTTCCAATTGGCCCTGGGGTTTCTCAAAGAATTTATTCTCTCTTTCTATAAAGAGGGAAATATTAAACCAATCAGACTCATTTGGTATGTTAAATTACATGCAAAGC